AAATAACTGAAACCTAATTAATGCTCTACTATTATACAACTACTTATTACAATTACTACTATACAACTATTTAATCACAAAAGGAGTTATTACTTCTATAGTCTTACTTTAATTAGCAAAGTTCTATATACCATTTTAATTAACTATAAACTAATTCTGTCTTATTCCAATTCATATGTTCTGATATGAAGACTAATCTACTAAGCCCTTTTGCTGTTTGAATGCTGTGCTAATTTGAAAGTACATAATGCAGTATTTAAATTTAATCACCTATAAAATATATTTAATTTTAAACAAGTTTCTTTCAAACTTTTTCATACCCAAATTGTTCCTCAGATGTGGAAGTTAAATCATCAAATGAATATCCTTTCAACCCAAATCTCTCATAGAAGTAAAACAACCAAATTGATTGCTGAGATATTTTAGTTTTCTGCAAATTTACACAAGAACTGCCACTGCTGAGAACTGTATTTATTGTAATCACAACATATGGACTATATTGTACAGTCAGAAATCTGACATCTCAGATGTAATTTTTTAAAACTATATTGTTACCACCTGGAAGTCTATTCGGCCTAGCAAGGTCTTGAAGCCTTCATGCACTGGAATCCATGAATCGGCTGTTCCTTTTTTAAGTCTTTAAAAAAAAATACTATTCAAGTCAAATCTTGCATTATAGTTCTATGTAGAGCATTTACTGATCATCCTAAATATAATATGTAAGTGCTTGCCCAATCTATCAAACCAGTTTAAATAAAACATTTAACAGCCCTGACACTGAATCATTATATATATAGTGTCAATAAGTACTTCTAACATCATTTAAAGCACTTCTAATCTAGTGCTATATTTGATAAATGGTTTCTTATCAACCTTGTAAACTTATGTATAACTATGTTGAAATGCAAAAAAAACCCCTAAAATTCTGAGTATCTTTAGGACATAAATAAGTTTCTCTATTACATACAATAAAGAAAACTTAAATTTGCAATTCCAGGACATTTAAGCCACAATTAATGCTAACTCTTGAAATTTCCAAAAATTACCCAATGATCTAATTCAACCTGGTTGATTTTACCAGACATCTGTAGGATGTGTTTTAAACCAGTTGTGTAAAACATGAATTGGTCAATAATAGCTTTATGCATGGTCTTTTGTAGTTAACATTGGCTTATACAACTTTTGTGTTTTATTTCTAAATGGAGTTTGATTGTCTGCATTCATCTAATCGAGATGAACATTTAAACCAGTAAACATTCAATTGATAAAACAAATAATCATTTAAAGATGGGGGGGGGAGAAGAGACCATGAAGTGCATTGGGAGAGGTGAGGGGATCTTCTCTTAACTGAATAGCTTACCTCCACCAGAGTTATATTCTCCCCTTTGGGGCCCCAGGCCAACTGGCACAGCTAGATCTTTAGGCCCTATGGAAGGTCAGAAGGATGGAAGCAGATCCCATCTGGATAGGAAAGATATTCCAAAGGGAAGGAGGCATGGCAGAAAAGACTCTTCTCCTGGACCCCACTAGCCAAAATTCCTTAACAATAATTTCTGCAGCATGCCCTTTCTATTGGCATGGGTGCGGCGGACCAATCCCAATGGAGCGAGAGAGCCTAGAACCATGCCATGAAGGCTTTAAAGATGATAATCAACAACTTGAATTGTACTTGGAAGCAAACCAGCAGCCAATGCAGCTTGTGGAACAGCGGTATAATGACCCAACCTAGAGGCCCCAAGAACTACTCATGCCACCGTATTCTGCACCAGTTTTAATTTCCAAATACTCTTCAAGTGTAGCCCCATGTAATGTCCATTACAGACTAGTTAGGCACCAATAGCTTGCATAAGAAATGTTATTTTTCCCTAATATGGAAATCTGATTCCCAACTCTGAAGATCACCATTATTACATTGCCTACAAAACCTCATTGTCAAACAGGGAATGGGGGAATGTGTTTTCTTTTTTAATCTTCATGATTTAGCACCAATATATCCAAAAGCATAGTTAAAAAACTATGTACAGATTTCCTGTTGATAAACGTTAGCAGCAGGCCTACCATCTATTACCTGTGTTCCAAGAGACAAATTACCATATTAATTAAATCACCTATTTACTCCTGCAAAGGAGGTGAGGCCAGTTCCAATGCAATAATTAAGAAGGAACTGTTTTATCTGATACACAAAGAATAATCCATAGTATGAAATAAATTGCACATTTAAATGTAGATATTCTCTCCCTTACTATAAAATAGCAATATGATTGTAAAAAATCTATAGCATGGATTACAAATTGTAGAATCACTAAATAACTTAGTAAAAAACTCATTGAGGCCATTTGCTCACATTTGCTCTACTGCATTCAAAAAATATCTATGTGGAATCATACTGATTTCTTTATATCCATATTATTTCATAGAAACAATTGAAATAGTAACTACTTCATTTACTCCATGAATATAAAGTTGGAGAGTCCTTTCAATGTCCTCAGATATCTATAAGCTAGAGCTGGTTAAGTTTGAGGTGCCTAAAACATGGAGTCTTCAGGAGTTTAAATAACTTCATATAGGAGATTTCTCTCAACAACTTAAAGAGAGAACTTATGGAAGTCCATTTTTTCTGCCCTACATTCCTAGTATGACTCATCACTGATAATGCTAATTGTAGATGTTGGAAACTCTGCATTACACCTCTGACAGGTTTCAAGTTCCTCAGTCCCAATTACAAAAATGTAATATAGCTAACAATGGAATATTTCAAATAGTTAAGGAGGAAATTTTCTATTTTGAAATTTGGAAACAAAAGTGGTAGAATATAATATCATTTTTCATGTGTTTCACCAACTACTATTTCCAATAAGATTCTTGTAAATCATCAATTACTGCTTACAAACAAGGCAGCATTTAAATTCTATCTTAAATAGAACTGAGCACAGGAAAACTTAAAAAACACAATTCATTTTGAACCCAAGTAAACTTGGTATGTCACTCATGTCAATTTGTGGAACAAACTAAAATACTGTATTACAAACATTCTAATCCTCACTAGCATTGATTCTTGCACATACTGTTCTAGATTTATTTTCATCATCCACAAACCAATTTTCTGAAGGTGCACAAAATGCTGTAAAATATGAAGATGAAAACTTACCTAATATGTATAAATTAGCTGGAACATGCTCTGAAACAGCATTCTATAATAAATTTTGAGGATTATACTATACATTTTTGTCAAAAACTGTACCTAACTCTCAACACCACAAGAAAATGCTGCAGTCTCTCTTGAGTCAGATTGCATTAACAAAAATCTAATAAATATTTTTCTCCTAGTTAAGTTATATAGGTACTATTTCTCATTCAAAGTAGGCGCTACTTAGAGTTAAAAATCTGCTTTTAATTAAACAGAAGATACTATTAAATTATTAAGTTCACAATAAACTTTTAAATGCATCCATCGAAAGAAAAATCCTACTTTGTTCAATTACATTTTTATATAGAATTTTACATAAATTTATTAAGGATCAGATTAAATTCTTTATTTTATTCTAAACGCTTATGATTTCATCACTTAGTCATTTTAAGGGGGGGAAAAGACTCTTAAGATTCAAAACCATGATTGTTCAATACAGTATTAGCAATAATCAGGGGCAATCTAAATTTGTAGACAATAGATACTGTTGCACTTACATTCTTCCTCTATAAACCTTCATTTAGAAAAAAAGTAATATTAAAAGATAACCAAGCAACAACACTTAGTAATGTTACAGTGTTTTATTTAAAAAAAACCCAGCAAACTTCTGAGTAATAATAAACATCAACACAAACTGAAGTTTCTCATTGAGGAATCTTAACTATGCCGGATCTACTGTATTAACATCCAGGGCCTCGGCCTGCACACCAATCAGCAAAACATCTTTCCTTCAATGTTGGAGACACCTCCATTCTTCTCCCCCATCTTCGCCGCAGTTACCCATCTAACTATTTAAAATGTCTCGGTTATTACACCCGAATTCAGAACGGCGGAAATTCGAGACGTCCTATGTTGTTAAGTAGAGATCGCGGGCTCCTGCAAATTATGCACATTTAATCAAGAAAGCAGCCGGCAGTGAAAGAGATATCTATGTTTCTAAGTGCAACGATGCCGTACAGACTATTTAAACAAACCGAGACTTCCCCCATCTTTTTAGTCTGACTTTGCAGACTGAAGCCACGAGTAAATCTGAAAGGAATGCCTTCAGTCTCAGCAGGTCCTACAACTATACCGCCGCGCCCAACCTACCCGCAGTTCGAGTCGATACTGCACAGGAAACCCCCGCCCCAAATCAGCCTCGAGCGTGGGGGACTGCTAGTTTCGGTCCTCCGGCAATATTTCCCGCCTACCTCCACCTCGGCTCAGCGTCTTCGCCTTTCTCAAGCAAACTACTTCTCCACCCAAAATCCTTCCAAGACTCACATTTACCTTCTCCAAGATCGCTCAAAGGCCCCTTCGCAGGAGGGACAGTAGGAGTGTAGAAGTATCGTGGAGAGAGACTCCCCGTCCCGCACATGAAACCCACCCCCGCCCAGTCTCCAAAAGACACACGGGGCCCGGAGAATCTTCCCCACCACCTTTCAAGGAAACCTTGGTTCCCGCCCTTGGACTGCTTTTGATTTAGTTTAAGCATCCGAATCTACTTTCAATTTTCATCATTAAAAAAGAAATCGCAGGAGTTATTTACCCCACCCAGTCACTTCCTGTGTGGACAAACATACTCCATCTTTCTCTTCCACCCCCATTGACGCGACCGAACCGACCCCGGGACAGGAAAAGCCGCCCTGAAACCCGTAAGGAAGATTAAAAAGGAGCCTCGAAGAGGCACAAACACTGGCGGGAAGGCGAAGCGCAAGGTCCCGCACAGGTCGCGCCTCCAATTATGACTTCCTTTGTTGCTCTTGCTATTTTTCTGGGCAAGCACGGGCCACTCAAAGAATGTCCACCTTTCCTCTTTCTACCGAAGTCGTACCGGTCCTCGCCGTCCGCCGCGGCCGCTATCGCCAAACCGACCGAAAGGCTATGTGAGAGAGGCTTAAAATGGCGCCGTTCACAAGGAGCTTCTTATAGCAACTGCAGGGACTCGATTGTATCCTGCCGCCACCTCGCCAGGCCTTGAGCGCAGCATTCCACAGGCAACCCACCCAGTAGTGCGGAGGACGCGCGCATTCACATAGACATACAAAAGGGGTTGGAGAAATAGTGCGCCTCTACCCTTCCTCTTTCGTTTGCGCGCGCGCACATAAAAACATGAACATAACCAGGCGGAGGGAGATAAACGAGGGGGGAAAAAACTCTTACCAGACACTGCTAGAGTAGTTTCGGAAAGACGAGGAATTGTGGGTAGGGGGGGGTGGAGGAGGAAGCAGAGTCTGTAGAAGAACTAGCTAGAAAGAGTGCAGGGATTCAGCCCTGATTTGAGTGTGATGAGGCTAGAGAGGGAGGGCAGGGAGTTTCTCTCTCACTCACAGAGAGGGACCTCCCGCGATCAAGTCTACCATACAACTGGTTACCCTTTGCATTCGATCATCATAGAAGGACAATAATCACTTTCTCCCCCTCATTTGGAGCCGCGAAAACGAGATTGTTGACGAAATGTTGTTTTTCTTCTCAGAGTTTCCGACGGTACTGCTGCAAACTTGCTGCATCTTCGTTGGAGACAACTAAAATAAGACCGAAATGAAATCTTCGGGCTTGTATTGATTTGCTTAGTAGTGCTTTTCCCCCCTTCTGACTGGACAAATACCTACATCCGAATAGTATCCCATCTCGAACCTTTGCCGCCCTCTCCCAATAAACAGCTCTTTAAATTCTGGACGGGTTTCGGGGAAAAAGGTAGCGGCGACTTTCCCACTTAGTCGGAAGCGCTTTTGGCAACTCTTCCCTCAAAATTCAGCACGGAGCGATTAAACCACATAATCTACATGCTTTTCCATTACAACCCAGCTATACTTACAATGGGTGAATAAGTAGTCAGATGGAGGTGTACCTATTAGATTATAATAACTGCAGTATTTTCAGGAGTTATTTTGCAAATGTGCCTAGCACAGGTTATGTGATTTTTGTATATGTCCGAGTTACAAATTCTAAGAACCTATATGCATTCGAACATTTGCATTCGAATGTCTACAACCCTTTGAACATTTTCGAGAGTAAGCCAATTCACGCGAATGCGTATAATTTCAAATAAATGATTATATTCTCGCTTTAAGACTTTTTTTAAAAAAATGCAAGTGTATATGCGTTATATCACTGTTTTTAAGAATGCTTCATCAAATTGAAATTTCACGTTATCGTGGTTATAACACGATCTAACATTTTAGTCAACTGATTAATTTGAAAATCTGGGTCTACACTCCTATCAAAACTCTTAAATGATTGCTAATTTCTTCCTATAGATTTCCTCCAAGATCATGTTCCTTAAAGTACGAACTGCACCGAAAGAATTAACTTTGCACATGGAAACTCCACATGAATGTTTCGCTTGTGTACAAGAGTTTGTCTTGCTCAGATCCGGTGTATTCGGATAATGATCCCCTCCTGGCCATAACCTAAATATATTTGTCTCACAGAATTAAGTGATGGGTGAACCGATAATTATACCAAACTTAAAAACTGACCAACTCGCTGCCTCTTTCTGTCTACAGCAGTTATATACACGGAAGTTGCGCTTGACCAAGAGGCAAGGAAATCTGATCAGCTTTCGGTCTCTAGCGCAACTCTGACGCTTCTCAAGCGAGGCGAACTGCTACACACGAGCAACATGGGATCGGGTGCGAGCGGGTCAAGAAAGTGTTTATTCTTTTTCCTTGGCTCCGCCTTTGCTCCGAAGCGAGGAGGAGTTCGAGGCCGTATTCTAGAGGTTAGGTTAGGGTCTCTGGGAAACCACGTGTGGAAACGGAACCTACCTACACTATTATCTCCATCCATCCGCTCCTGCATTTGCACCTTTACTCGGTCTGATCGTGTACTAAGATTCTACAGGGCTGTCCTGGGAAGTTTGGATTTCCAAACGAGACTCATCTCTTATTTTGCCGTTTTTAGTATGCATGCAATTTGGTTGCAAATTCGCTGAATTCAAGGGTACTTACAACCGAGTAAACATGCACAAGTTAGCTTGCAGAGTTGCAGTGTGTGCTTAAGTGTGTGCTTAAGTGTGTGTGGCCATGCAGCTGTTATGTCACAACCAAAACTTTTGAGTTGTAGATTGTGTGGTGTTGGCACATTCTTGGAGAAAAAAAAATGTGCTATGATTAGTTGGAGATAATTCTTACTATCCTTGCACATCCTACAATAGATTTACTCAAACTACTTCATCCTTGAAGCTATTTTCCATAATTTCTATCTTTAATGGATCTATTAAAACAGATTTAATATTTGCATAGACAACTCAGGAATGGAGTGCAATTTGAGCTGGAATCCCAAATACATAAATTTTGAGAGACCCAATGATTTATTATAATATATTGTAAACTAAAGAGAAGCTGATGTGGCTGAATTGTTTAAGATTTTTTAAAATGGGAAATAGATTATGGTGATTGGTAATATGAATATGTTTCTACTTAGATTAGGGAATCATTGCCCATCAACATAATTGGTTGGAAAAGAGCATATTTCAAGAATGGGTAGCCTAACTGTTATATTATCTATTACAATACTTTTCTATTGTCTAGCTCAAAGATTCTGAGCATCAGTCGACACTATAAAAGAGGCATGCAAGTGTTGTGTTAAAACTCGCAAACACACAGTACAAAAACAATTACAGCAGTGTCTCCAGCTGAATGCATCAAAGCCTATTTAAGAGGGTTTTATTATTTCTTTTGAATGTCAAGGATTATATTCCAAAATGTGAGAACGGTCACTGAGCAGTTTTCCTTTTTAGTCCATTCTTCGATCACTTTCTACCAAGTCAGATCTTCAGCAGTGCCTTCATGAAACAGAGAAAGTAGTATAGTATAAGACATAAACATGACACTGCTTTAGAAATAATAACAGGGAAGTAACTCACTTTAAATGTAATTTACTAGTCATTTATCTTGGATTTTTAACAGCTGTATGAGTGTATCATATTTTTCTAACACTTCCAAATAATTATTTGAATAAATTAGGTTGGATAAAAAAATGGAATGGGAGCCTTCCTTTTTGGGAAAGCTTATGTGGATCTACCACTAATATTTTGCAATACAGGGTGAAACACGTTAACTCAAAATGTCTAGATCAACTTTCCTCTAGATGCTGTCCACTTCTGTGAATTTCAGCTCCCTGAATTCTTGGCAGTGGTCCATTACTGAAAGGTTCCCAGGTTGGGGAAAGCAAAGCCAAACCCAGGATAAGGAGTTAAGATTGTCAGGCTTGATCTAGTGAAGCTCAGTTCCCTCACCTACCTCTTATTCTGAGATGGAGAAGGAGAAATAGAACAAGATTTGCTAGGGTGAAAAGCCTCCTGGAAAATCACTTTCCCAGTTACCATCTAACTCTCTTTGGGGAGTACAATCTGCTTTTTAAGTGCTATTGAATCAATACACTTGCTTTGGTGATGAGATACTATATCTTGTTGATAGAAAGTGATAGAATGCATAACTGAATATAACAAAACATATTGTCTCATGATAGCCAGGAATGATACCTATTCATTCTACTGGTTGCCATGCAAGTTTACTCTTTATTAAAATAGAAAAAAAGACCCTAATTCAACTGGCATTAAACTAGAAGAATCTAACATAAAAATGTGAGAATTTTCAGTGGAGTTTTATATTAGAAATTCTTAATATTGCCATGAATATTGGAAAATATATTTGTATATGTGAATGATGAAAAATAAGTTTTGTTACCCCTCTCCAAAAAGTATTATTTTATAATACTTAATTATTCCAACCACCCTTTAAAATAAGAAGCACTGGACAGTGTTATTAAGCACAGATTGTTTTTTAAGCTGATAATCCTTGATACTACTTTTAGCAGCCTGATGCTGTGCAATGATTGTAAAAGAGAACAAGCAAAAACATTGCCTTCTAACCTTAATGGCTGTTGATGGTTTATTAAAAGCATCAATATATCCTCAGTTGCTTTACCACTGTGCATACTGAATGAACAAAGGTAAACTGATTTAGCTTTGAAATCTTAGGCCCATTTTTTAAAAGGGGAAAAGGATGCTGAAGGATCCATTTTGGACAAAGATGTGAGATATTCAGTTAGAAATATTGCTTCTATTAGGGATCACTATCAAGTTTTCAGTAAGTAATTCCACTTAGTATGTGATCAAAACAGGAAAATCAGTCTACTGCCCTTGAAGCATTTCATGGTCCCTGATACCTTTCAGAGACTCTTTGTGTACCATCCCACCCTCTGAGGTCTGAAGAGCTGGGCTATTGAAGTCTGGATGTTGCTGGAGTAGGAGGGATACTGTTGTACCTCGTTCTCCATACACACTGAAGGAGGCTATGTGAATTGGCTACTAGACGAGTAGGTTTCTCAACTTTTATTTTAAATTCATTTCGAGAGGCCTTTATTTCCCCCTTTCCTTTTATATTTTTTATCATTGCTTCTGCATCTTTTTGTATAGTCTTAGGACACTTTTCCATGTAAACAATGTGCATGTTATGAAATCGGGTTTTGTTTTGTTTTATACATTGCTTTTAAATGTTGGATTAGATTTTTTTATCATTTGTTTTATAGAGGTCAGGCTGGCAAATTTGGGGGATAAAAATATTGGAAGTAGCCCTGCTAATAATGAACTTGTATTGCTCTTTACAACTGAAATAATAGCCCCTCACTCATAATATAATTTAGACATAAATTAAGATCATTCATTGGTTTTCTTTTTGTCAAGTAGGCTTAACTTAATACATTCACTTGTATCTAAAAATGAGTAACTATGACTTTCAAGATGTATTCATAAGAATGCCGTTTGAAGTTTCCTCAAGGGTTAGAGCTTGATAGGTTTGTGGTGTTGAGTAGATTTAACACTGCACAAATTTACTTTCCCTTCAGCTTTGCCCTATAAAAGGGTCAAGCTTCTTTCTGACACTGTTATAATCTAGCTCTACAGTAAGAAATATACCTTGTAAGGAACTGACCTCTTTATTCTTTTGAAGGAAAAAGACATACGTGTTTTTCTTAGGATGTTGGCCTGTTTTTATTT